TAGAAAATGAAAAGAACTCCCGTGTTCAAAGATTAGCAGAAATAATATAAAGATTGCCATATGATTTAACATGATCTACAGATTCAAAGCCCCAACAAAATATCAATGATAGTTTTAACAAAATCAGAAAAATATCCTGAATTTCATATGGAAACACAAACACAAACAATCCCTAATAGAAGAGGCAATCCTAAGCAAAAAAATACAGCAACACTGGAGGCATGACAGCATCCATTTTCAAAACATACTACAAAACCATAATAACAAAAATAGTATAGTACTGGCACAAAATAGATCATGGGATAAAACAAAGGGCACAGAAACAAACCCACATGATTACCACTGTCTCATTCTGGGTGGAAGAACCAGAAACATAAATGAGAGAAAAGACAGCCTCTTTAACAAATACTTCCGGGGAGTCCAGGCATGGTGGTGCATGCCTGTAATTCCAGCACTGAGGAGGCTAAGAAGAGGAGGATCACTACGAGTCTGAGCTACATAGTGAGACCCTGCACAAAAATACAAAAAAAAAAAAAAATACAGCTGGGAAAACTGGATATTCAGTTGTGGAAAATTGAAACTAGGACCCTACCTCTCACCCTGTACAAAAATTAATTCAAAACAAGTTGAAGACTGCTACAAGAAAGCACAGGGGAAACAGCTGAAGCCATAGGCACAAGGACTTCATGAATAGGACTCCAGTGGTATAGGAAACAATAGCAAGAATCAGCAGATGGGACTAGACCAAGTTCAAAAGATTCCACACAGCAATAGAACCAATTCATGGAGGGAAAAGGCAGCCCACAGGATGGGAGGAAAATCTTTGCCAGGTTTTAAGCAGTTTTTCATATACTTTCTTTTTTGTTTGTTTTTGGTGGAACCCTGGATTGAACTCAGGCCCTTGCACTTGCCAGGCAAGCGCTTATTCTACTGAGCTATCTCCCCGGCCCCTTCATATACTTTCTGACCATCAGTCATTAGGGAAATGAAAATCAAAACCACACTGAGATTCTTTCTCATCCCAGTCAGAATGGCAGTCATCAGGAATGTAGAAAACAATGAATTCTGGCAAGGATATGGGGTAGGAACCTTGCTGGTAGGAATATAATCAAAATTTTTTTCCTTCAAAAACTGAAACTAAGATACACCACTGTAATTCAGCTATAATGCTCCTTGGTATATACCCAGAGGAATTAAAAGATATAAAAGTTAACATACTGTAGAGATCCTGCCTACCCATGTTTATGGCAGCACACTTCATAGTAAGATATAAATGATAAAAGAATATCCATAATGGAGTGATACTCAGCTGTCAAGAAGCATGAATTTGTTTATTTATTTTTTATTTTTTTCTTTGTGGCCTGTTCAGCCTGCCTTAGGGTCAGGGCTGGCGTGGCATGTGGCGCCGGTGATCAAACCACAGTCCCTGCACTCTTGCCTAAGCTTACCTAAGAAAGTGCTTTAGACCACTGAGCTGTCTTGCCGGCCCAAGAAGCATGAAATCTTGTCATTTGCAGGAAAACAGGTAGATCTAGAGATCATCATCATGTTGAGAAAAATAAAACTCAGAAAGACAGATATCACATGTTCTTCCTCATATGTGGGCCCTAAATGCTGTGCCATGAAAATAGAAGGGAGATCTTTAGACAAGAGGAAGAAAATAAGGGGGGAAAGGCTGGAAGGGGAAGTTAGAGGGGCAGAAATATGGTCAAAATATGTTATGTGCGTTAAACCCCCTTTAATGGTTAATACATTGTGACAATTTGAGAAGTTTAGAAGTTTAAGTGACTCAGTAGGAGGCAGGATGTAAACACCCTGAGCTTGTGGAAGAGGAGGGCACCGAGATGGCATACCATACAAAGGAGGAAAAGCAGCTTGCTTTCCCACCTTTGCTCTTGCTGCTTTTGTTGTCTTCTGCCGTCTTGAAGTGTTGGCCCTGAGTTATGCCACCCTACCTTGGAGCCAGCTGAATACGGACTGAAACCTCTATAAACTGTAAGTTAGATAAAACTTTACTCCTTTAATTTTGAGTGTAAGATATTTTGTCTCAGCAAAGAGAAAAAAGTAAACAATACACGTCCCAAATCTAATATAGAGGAAGCCAGAGGATGGGATGATGCAGTGCCAAGTGACCCAAGTACATTATGTGCATGTACAGATCTTTCAACATGAGATCCAGTGATCTGTGTAACCAGTGTACACTAATTGAAATGAACAAAAAGCAATGTTGCTTCAGTCTGCTGTTCAGCTGGTCAGCCACGGTGACCGGGCTCATGCCTGCTGATCCTACCAGGGCTGTGCAAACAAGTACCCTAAGCTGGTGGCTGGCCGGCACTGGTCGGTCAGGGTGGGCTCTGCTCCACAGGACATTATCCCCTGCTGGGAAGGCTGAAGCTCATCATGGCCATCACAGGGTTCCAGAAGAAACAAGGTATGCATGAGGATCAGCCCTGCTGTGGCACAGAGCAGAGCAGAACATGGAAAATAAATGAGGAGGATAAAGGAAAAAAAATCACAATGGAAGCCTGTGCTTCTGAATTCTTATAAAAACTTAGAAACAGCTCTGAAAAATATTTTTCACAAAGGACATCAATAGATTTTAATATAGATGTACTGCACAAGAGCCTTAGAATGTGCTGTGTAAACAGTGACAGTTCTCCCCATAGGTGCTCCCATTCAGACCACTCTTCTTATACTGTTAACAAGGATTCAGTGAAAATTAGTATCAAATTTGATGCTGCATTAAGAAGTTGTCTGTAGTTTTCTGAACACAGGTGATCACTGCTGCTGTATTTGTAATACACAGATAATTCCTCAGTGGAGGAAAGAGGAACTAAGGCAATCACTATGATGAATTAGATTAAATAATTTTAAATTTCAAATAATTGATAAAAGGGGAAATGAGCACAACTTAATTTCAATGGCAATGAAGTAAAATATACAGTGAGATAGAATATGAATAAAATGTAGGCTTTCTTTTTATATCTAATATGCAAATGTTTTGAAATGTTAGAAGTACAATAGAAATACTAGTGTTTCTTATCTTTAGGTGGTATGAAAATAGTGATGTTAATTTTCACTTAAAATTTTTGGATATTATGTTGACTGTGCACAACATATAATACCATTATCAGAAAAAAATAGATATCTCGGGGCCTAGAAGATGGCTCAGTGGAATAAGCGCTTCCCTGGCAAGCACAAGGGCCTGAGTTCAATCCCTGATTCTGAAAAAAAAAAAAAAAAAAAAGATATGACATTTAAATGTTCCTGTTTTGTAAGTTTCTTGGGAATAAAAATAGCACGCCCATTTCCTGCCCTGTGGAAAATTGTGGTGTCTGTCCCTGGCCATTCTGGTATTCTCTGAGATCTCACAATAATCAGAGGATGATTTGAATACTTGATCTTAGCATAACAGCTGGGATCATGACTATTTTCTTTCTTTTTTTCTTTTTTTTAATTTCTTGGAGCTGTGGAATGCCAAGAATAAACAGGATTATACTGCTGTCTTTAGAGTAATCCTTAGTATTTACATTAGAACTAAAAAAGTGAAATCCAATGTTACTGGATTGGGAAGCAAGCTACAGTGCACCTCATACAGGTTAGGTCTTGGCTTAGGCCACAGTGGGCTATCAGGTAACTATATCTGTAGTGACTCTCACCATTGATTTGGTTTATAGCCTTTGAACTCTTACTGCCACTAAAAATTGTGTGTCGAAAGTAACAACATTTAATCCATCTGGAATCCTTAAGAGGCTAGTCTGGATGCTAGAAGGAAGTGTCTGATGATACAACATGCCAGCTTAGGGCAGGGATAGATACAGTGTATGGCAGTGAATTAGCCGTGGGGCATATGTCTCTTAGATGCACCACGTGAAGAGCACAGACCCTTTGATCTCCTTCATGCTGAAAAATGGACTTGTTTCCTCCTTTTGCATCTGAGTGGACCATAATTCAGTTGAGCAAATAAAGGATGACATATGGGATATCCTAGCTTCAAGCTCTAGCCATGAGAAGCTGACCAATTCCACTGCCTGTCTCTTGGTAAACTCACTTTTGAAAGTCAACTGGAAGGCCTTGAGAATTATAGCCACCAGAGAGCTCACACATACCTGTGCTCCACTGGAGCAAGCCGTGGCCACCACTGTGGCCACAGAAGGAGCCACAGACTCAGGCTAGCATGTCTTCAGATGATCTGATTCCTTTCAAGGTCCTGAGCCAGAGATGAGCAGCTGAGCCAGGCAGCCTGCAGGACCATGAGACCCAAGAATGCAGTGCTTTTCTAACCCCCTGAATCTGAAGATATTTTAATAAGCATTCATTCAAAAGACTTGGAACATGCACCATTGATAACAGGTACTTGAAACAAAATTTGAAATAGTCACAGGAAACACGATGATGTAAGATCTGTGTAGGGCCACCTTTTCAGCCAGAAGGAAGCAACAGCTAGGAGAACTTGTTCTGATGTCTGTTACCATCTCCTGGAGATAAAATGAATCAAAGAAATAAAGGAAAAATAAAAAGTGCTTCATGTTTGGAGTTGATAAGAGGCCTATATGTGGACAGCACCCAGAGCCATGTGAAATGTTATTGTTCTTGTTTTTCCCCTCTTTCCTCAGCTTCCAGCTGTCTTTCTTCAATCTGCAGGTTCCTTTTCCTCCTTCACATCAGCAGAAACTGCCACATGCCCATGGTCTCCCCACTCTGCTGGTAGTGCAGGTGACACAGACCAAGCCACTCAAGCCTGGGTGCATGGAGAAGCAGATGAGCAGGGGGTGACAGGAGAGCAGCTGGCACAGCTCCTCGTGTGCCACCCAAATCCTCTGCTCATCTGCCTGGTCAGAAACTATCAGAATGCGATGGGGCTCTTCCTGACAAATAATGTATTGTATGGACTTTTGACATCCATGACAGCACAAACATGAGATGTGTATCCACTGTCACACTCAAGCACAAGGTCGGTGTATGCCCGGGAGTAGCTCACAGTTCTGTTCTGTCTGCAGGTGTTCCAAAGTTGATCACTCCTGATATGGTTAAAGAAGGTGCTGCTGTGATTGACGTGGGCATCAACTACATCTGCGATCCTGTGACAGGAAAGACAAAGTTAGTTGGTGATGTGGACTTTGAAGGTAAGAAACATAATCTGTTTTGATAAATGAAAGGACAAAAATCCTAACTTTAATCTGTCTTTGATAGCAAGGAGAGATCCTTTCTGTTTGGTGGGAAGATGAGGAAGATAATGATCATGGCTTCTCTCTTCTGGAAGCATTTGGTCATCCTATCTCTCTGTTCCTCCCTCCCTCCCTCCCTCCCTTCGTCCTTCTCTTCCTTTCTCCCTTCAAATTGTAGTATTTGGCTCTAGGCCTGAGTTTCTTGTAGTGCAGTTCTTGGTGAAAGAATTCAGCTGAACCCTGTAGACCTGTGTATTATTTATGGGAGTAACCGCTTAGCTATGCTTAGCCATTTCTGCTCTGTGCTCACCAAGACAACTGTCTGTGGAGTTGAAGCTGATGTTTTCTTCTTGTGTTTAAAGAGGATGAGGGAGAGGACCTATGCTCAAACTTCCATGGCTAAGGAGATTTTAAAAAAGCAATGTGTAGGGCCAGGGAGATAGCTCTGTGGACTAAGCGCCTGCTTAGGCATGTGCAGGGGCCAAGGTTGGATCCCTGACACCACATCTGTGCCGGCCCTGCCCCCAGTGTACTGAGCTGGCAACTGAATCCCAGTGTGGTAGTGCACACGCCTGTAATCCCAGCTCTGGGGAGGCTGAAAATAGGAGGATCACTGTGAGTTTGAGCTGCATAGTGAGACCCTACACAAAATACAAAAAAAAAACCAACCTAAAGTAGCCATATGTGATAGTAAAAAGGAAAATTAATCCATGGCAGATGTGTCTCTTAGATGTCCTGCCTCTAACCCAGTTTTACACATATCTTAGTCAACCTGCAGTTAGGACCCTCAGCTGGCTAGAAAGGTGTGAAGGTGGTGAAGTGCATCGAGACATTTTCATGTTGGAAATAGTTTATATGTCCACTTTTGCCGGAAAAGGCAAGTGCCATTTCAAAAGATTGTGACAGGAATATTACATCATCACAGACAAACTAAAAGTAATAACCAATGAGATTTTTTTTTTTTTTTTTTTTTTTTTGGGATTAAACTTTTTTTTTTTTTTTTTTTTTTTGCGGAACCAGGGATTAAACTCAGGCTCTTGCGCTTGCCAGGGAAGCGCTTATTCCACTGAGCCATCTCCCCAGCCCCAAGCCATCTCCCCAGCCCTGAGATTTTTTTAAAACCCAGATTTTAATTTTTTCACCTGGTATCCATCCAGTCACCAGTTGTTCACCATCCTAGCATGGCACTCACTAAAGTTGAAAATTGCCAATAGCCAGAATATCCTCAGACATTAATCTCATGTTTCTGAGATGCTGGGAAATACAGAAGCCAGAGCCAGAAGAGGAGAAGCCTAGTGGTCATGGAGACAGACACCTGGGGATGCAGTGTGCAGCAGCACTTTATAGGGAGAGGTGTGCATGTGCCCAGCACTAGCTGCCTCTCGTGCCCACCTGGGCGCAAGATCATAGGCTCCACGCACAGGTGGAAGCAGGTGTGTGTACCACACTAAATGTGTGGGGGGGGGTTGTTAGTGTGCATGCACACCTGCACACGTGGTGTGCACTTGCTGAGATTCGCTTTATTTACCTTTCATGTTCCCTCACTCCAGTGAATATCAGCAATTTATTTCAATTTCTGAACTCCACAGAGAAAAAATGCATCTCACTTTTTCTGACTTATTCCTTTTTGCCCTGCTCTTCTGTTTCTTGGCAGTGTTGTGGCTACTAAAAGTGTAATGCAGCACCACCCACCTGAAGCACATAGAGGGACAGCTTTAGCCAAACCTTTTAGAGCTTTCAGTGATTCAAACAACCTGCTGCAGACGTGTGCCTTAGGCTCACCCCCACTGACCTAAGAAAATCTGCTCAGTGCAAGCAGGGTGGGAACAGGCGCAGTACCCAGCTTTGACCATGTCTGTGTCTCAACCCTTTTTTTTTTTTTTTTGTATTTTAGGGAACGGTCTACAGGGCATTCAGGGTCTCACTACTAGATCAGACTCATAATGATCTGCCTATTCACAGCCTCCCAAGAGCTGGGATTACAGCATGCACCACCACACGCAGTCTCAATTGCTGTCTCAGTGTGCCCCAGGGGTGGGGCTGACACTGCAAGCCCAGGGATCGAACCCCTGGCCCTTGCAATTTTTTTTTTTTTTTTTTTTTTTTTTTTTTTTTTGGATACAGGGTCTTATTGTGTAGCTCAGACTGGCCTTAAACTCGCTATATAGTTGAGTCTGGTCTCAAACTTTAGGCTATCCTCCTGCCTCAGCCTCAGTGCTGGGATGGCAGGTGTGTACCATCAAGCCCTGCCATATTTACCACACTGTATGCAGCCCTTCCCTTGTAGAGCATTTCTGAAGTCTCATATCATTTCTGTGCTTTACTTTGACTAAGAATGGATTTTCTTCTGATGCTGTTTGGACAATGTGCTTAAAATGTATGCCTGGGGTGGCAGTGCATGCCTCATGGCACATGCGCATAAGCCCTCCCCGTGGCATGCTTCTTGACTTGGTGAAATTTATCAAACCAAACTGTAGCTCTGTGGGACTGAGTAGATAATGAATGTCTAATGAAAGAAAGTGATGAAAGAAACAAGCTATAAGAGAAACAGGAAACGGAGCATAGGGCTGAGAAGCTGAAGAGGGTACCTTAGACACGGCACTCTGGCCATCAGAGTTTTTGTTCCATGACAGCAGTGGTGCTGGGGTTCACTTTCCTGGTGCAGCCAACCAGGAAATTATCACTGAATTATCTTAAATCATTGCAGGAAGAGTGGTGAGCACAAGGCAGTAAGACACCTAAGAGATAGGGGCCACCTTCCTGTAACTGTTACTGTGTTCTATGCCTGTAATTGTTTTGTTCTCTTGTTAGAGAACATATTACTGTATTAGCCTCTCACTGTGCTTAGTTTGTACATTAAACTTGGTCTTGGATATGTATGTACAGGAAAGAGCATAACATACATAGGACCAGGACTGGCCTTCAGTTTCAGGTGTCCACTGGGATCTCAGAGCACACCTCATAGATGAGAGGACCATGATAGGAGGGCTCCTTTCAGCTTTAATTTTTGGTGAGTCCTAGAAATTCAGTAGAATGCTCTCAGGTGATCTCGTAAAAGCATAGAAACCCCTAGAAGGAGGATCAGAGCTTTATGCTTTCATCATGAGATACACCTCCATGACTATTGGTATTTCTCCTGCTACCCTTGGCTGGGTAGAGGAGTCCTGATTGGCAAGGCCAGGACTTCACCTAGGGTGAGGCTCAGTGGTCCACCAGAGAGGGAGACACCTCAGCCTGGGCTCCACCCCAAACTCACAGGGAGACAAGGGCCAAGTGCGCTGCTCTATGAGTATTGGTGCAAGTTTCGCTGTAACTACTGCCAAGAGAGAAGTGGTGGTAGCCAAGTCACTGGCTTCTTATCAGTGGAAACTGGGCAGCCCTGGTACAGGAGAGCTTGCTGATGGGGAAGATCCTTCAACCTAGAGGCCCACATGGGTGTGCTGAGGGCAGTAATGTCCCAGAGAAAGTGGCGCTCGTGTGGAACTTCCCACTTAGGGGCCTCAAAGAGATGATAATGACAGGACATGTTGCAGAGGTCAGTGCACCAGGGCCAGTCAGGGCCAGAGAAACCGGCGAAGGAACACACGGGGTGGAGAGATGTCTCCTGAGAAGAAGGCAAGCACTATACCAACTGTTCAAAGTTAAATAACTCAAGCCCAATACTTCTGCACTTTATGATGCACTAAGGAAATGTTAGTGCTATTGGTACAGGGAAAACTCTAAATGACACAGGGAGAAAAACTGATCTCCCAACCTAAAAGATACCTGGGATGAGTTCGTGTTCTCTAAAACTGAAGAATGAATTTTAGGAACAAACGGAGATTATGAGCAGAATATATTTATTGAAAGAAAGAAAGCTCCTGTCTGAGAGAGGGACAGGAGGGGGGCCCGAGCAGGTTGTCCCCAGGAAGCTGTCCCTTCCAGGGACTTTTATAGAGAAAACTACGTGGTAAGGCAGGTCTAAGGTGGTGGAGAATACATGGGAACTCACTTAGCTGGACATGAGGTGGGACAAAGCTATGGCCAACCAATGAGATTACAAGCACCATTGCTCAGGTAAAATTGATTAAATCCAGTACCGAATGGGGAAGCGAGTACATAGCAAGTGGGCAAGAATACGGACAGGGTCTCTTTCTGTTGGGGGTTGGTCTAGTGACTCATTTGGGCTCTTTCAAGGTGATTGATACCTATTTAGAATATCAATCCCTGATGCCCATCCCTAAGGAAGTATGTAGCTGTGTTTTGTCTTGGTCTTGAGATCTGGCCCATATGGGAATGTCTGTCTATTCCAAGTTGTAAAGTCGCCTTGTCTTCCATCTTGTCTCCTTGAGGGCCTGGCCCTATCTGACTGCCTATAATATTTTTATCTAATTCAGCTGCCTACAACACTAGTACTGCTTTCAGCTCTCTAATAATTTATAAGCCATACTATGAGGGTTTTGAATGTTTTGACAAATGTGTTAAATGTCATTGCACAAGTGAGATTTCTTCCGTTGATTATTAGGGTTGCTTTGGCCTCTTGGCAAAACCACTTTTATGGTCTTGCATTCCTGTGAAACTATGTACTGCTGTCTTTATGCTCAGTAAAATACCATGGGATTAGTGTTGCATGGCTCAGACTCACATCCAGTACCATAATCACTCTACATTTTATTACAAGAGTCTCTTATGGGGGGGGGGGGAGTTTTGTTTTGGTTTAGTTTGTGACAGGATCTCGCTGCATAGTCCAGGCTGGCCTTGAGCTCACAGTGATCCTCCTGCCTAAGTCTCCCAGATGCTGGGATTAAAGGTGTGTGTCACCACGCCCAGCTCTTCACTATTATCATTGCAGTTTTATCCATGGAGGCATCTCAGTGTTGGGGGTACTGTGTGCTTAGCACTTTTCCGCAGAATCACATACGGGTGATTCTCTTCATGTGGCTCTAAGTGAGACAATGCCATGCCTCTCTGGGCCCTTT